CAAATACTCTCTTAATGCAACTACTAATTGGGATGTGAGTTTCGGTTTTTCTTCAATAAGATTATTGTCTATCTCTCCGACACCTTTTTCCAACTCTTCCCGTAGTTGAATTAAAGTCAATTTATCCTCTGCTTTTTGATACTCCTCAGCAGTTTTAAAAATCTCTTGGTCAAATAGTTGGCAAAACTTTTTCTCTTGACTATCCTCATTGGGAAAAAGTGTCATTTTTCCAGGTAAACTAGGAAAGTAATCTAGCTTTTCGTGATTATGAATTCAGTCCTTTTCCCCCGTTTCAAGGTTCAAAACTTTATATTTTCAAAAGTCTCCATCTCTTTCTTCATAAAGGATTTTTGCCAAATACTCCATTGGTCTATATATATTATTTTATATATAATAAAATAATAAAGTCTATAATAAGTTTTCTTGCACCCTTTTACTAACATCATCTTACAAGTTTCACAAAGATTGAAAACTAATAAATGTTGCCAATATTAGTTTTACTACATTCATCACAAATCAAGTCTTTAATAATTGTCTTCTCTGTTTTTAAATTTTCCTTTCAGTTTTGAGATATTGTAAATCCTTCATCTTTATCTCTTCGTCAGTTTTAAAAGCATCCATGGTTTGCTTTCATTGTTCAAGAATATTCTTTGCACAAAAATAACAATAATTATTTGCTACTCTTTTATCACCAACTATACTTGTTGTATCTATGCTCCATATTACTAAGTAAATGGTTTGGGGAGTATTGGCTCCTCCTGGACCAAGACGAGAAAGACAATTAGCACAACGATAAGGATGTTCAAGGGGACCAAAAGTTATTTCTATTTTTTTTGCCATATAATTAATATTTATCAACAACTGGCTTTACTATATTTATTATTTTAGTTATTTTTGGGAGGAATTTCTATTTGGGGAGTTTGTTCTGGTTCTTCTTGGATAGTTAAATTTAAAAGCCCACTACTACATTGTTGTAATAATTGAATGATTTGTTTAGTATTTATCATTTTGCTAGTTAGAATGGCAGTAGGATGGATTTGGTAAGGAGTTTGGGAGAAGGAATTGTATTCTTGTTCGAGGGCTTGATATTGTTGGTAGGAAGGGGTGTTTTTTTTGTTTTCAATTTCATTATACCAACCACTAATAATCCTCCTCAACCCCTCAGCAGTTGGTCTCTGGGCAGGATTAGTATCCCAACACCTTTTAATTAGGTCTTTAAGTAATTGAAGTATTGGAACTTTGTCTATATCAGGCTGATATCCTTGGCAAACTTTTAAAGCCAAATCCACGCCATCTAAATTAGGATAAGGATAAGCATTAGCCAATAATTCATAAGCCACGATACCAAAAGAGTAAATATCACTGGCTTGGGTATATGGTTGTCCTTGTAATACTTCGGGGGCAATATAAGGAAGAACCCCAAAAATTTTGCCTTCTTGTTTTTGGAAGTTGACTGGTCTAGATAGTCCTAGGTCAGTGATAGGAACTTTTCAGCCACTAACATCACTATCACTTCTATTCAATATATTCCCACTATGAAAATCCCGATGGATTAGGTTTTGGTCGTGAATTCTATTTAATCCCTCAGCAAGGCTTGACAATCTTTCAATTTTATCTTTCAAACTTAAATTATTATTTTGGTTTTGTAAATATTGTCTTAAACTGCCCTTTTTCATATACTCCATAACCATAACATAATTCTTAGTAAGGGGGTTGTTGGAGATACCATAACATTTGACAACACCACCCCTAACCAACTTAGTATTAGCAATCTCAGTTAAGAATTCCAGGGTGATATTTTGAGAATTGTTGAGAGATTTTAGAACAACATTCTCACTATAATCCTTATCGTATTTTTTTATTTCTCTACATTCAGCCTTATATATCTGACTAAAACCACCATCTGCTATATGTTCAATGTTGGTGAATTCTTCATAAGGAATTCATTGCAATTTGTTTCATTTACTTCCTTCTTTTAACTGCTGTTGTCGAATAAACTTTTCAATTACTTCTGGCCCAGTTAAATTTTTTATGTCCTCTTGTCATTCTTGTTCAGCACAAGGTTGGCATCATTTATAACTAGTGTTAAATTGTTGACATTTTGGACAACGACCATGTTCATATCTCCTTAATTCAGGAACAATATAAGTTAATTGACAGTTTAGTCTTTGGTAAGCAGAATATTCAATATTCTCTAAACTTTTGGGTAATTTATCTAGGTTTACTTCATTAATATTAGTGTCACTAATATCAAGCCTTTTTAATTGTTGTAAATTGCTTAAATAATCTAAGGAACCAGTGAAGTTGTTGTTGGCTAAAACAAGTTCTTCCAAATTAGTGCAAGGAACTAAAAAAGATAGGTTTTGAGAGAAGTTGTTGTTTCTTAAAAATAAATTTTTTAAATTAGTGGGATTAGTAGGAAGAGTGAGATTGGTTAGTTGGTTATCAGAACAATTAATTTTTTCTAACTGATTGAAATTACTCAAATTAAGGGAGATGAGTTTATTATTAGAACAATTTAGTTCTTTTAAATTAATAAAATCAGAGAGGTCTAGTTCTCCTTCGAGGTTTTCATCACTAATATTTAATATTTCTAACTTGGTTTTCCCCTCATTAGTGAGAGAGTTTAAATTAGCATAACCATGAACACCTTTGGGAATAATCTTAGCATATTCTGGTAAGTTGGTAAAAGTTAGTTTGGTTTTATCTACCTGAGGAGAAATATATACTCTCAC